AATTCTGAATTACTAAACTACAACATCAATCAGATGGTTTATTTTTTTTTATCATTATATCTGTTTCCTCTTTTATTGTTTTAGGTGAAGGAAGAGTGGGATTTGTAAGCAGCTCTTCGAGTCTCAGTGCTGACGCACGACCGTTTGTACCCAGGAGTAAGAGATCAGCTAAGAGTCCTATTTCGGATCAAACTTGTGTAATTCAAAGAAATGATGTGCAGAATATTAACAGATTACCTCCACAACCAAGTTCACCATCTGGAAGAAAATCTGCTGATTTGCCCTCTAAAATTAAATTTGCCACTGCGCAGGAGGAGAAGCATTTGATTCAAAGCAAAGAGGGCCTTAAGGACAACACCATATGTCCTCAAAGATATCCATCTTCTGGAAGACAGTCTGATGACTTGCCTTTGAGTAATGAATATGCTACAGTACACAAGAAGAGTTTGATTCAAAGTAATCAGGCTCACAACAGCACTGCCCGGCCCCAACCATGTTCCTTACCGGTTAGCACTCCTGCTGGTTTACCTTCAAAAAGAAGCACGTCTGCCGATATACCTTCAAAAAGTAAATCTGCCACTACCCAGGAGAGAGCTTCGATTCAAAGTAAAGAGGACCCAAAGAGCAACAGCATTCAAGGCCAACAATCAAGTTTAACACCTTTAAGAAAGCCTGATTTGCCTCTAAAAAGCGACCGTGCTCCTACGAACAAGAAAGTTCAGATATCTTCTGACCTTCAGCAACCTAGTTGTTCTTCCTCACACACCTTTCCAAAAGGTTTACATAGTGATTGTTTCGATCCATTGTTGCACTTTTAGTTGTGAAATATTCATACTATACTAATTCTCAGGACCTGACGTGGAATTGCCTCAAATTGTGCGAAATTGGAGGACAGGACAAGTTGTTCCTGCTGTTATTGCCAAAGTGTGGAATCCTTCCTGTTTTGAAGTAAATATTGTTGACGAGTTTTCTGAATTGCTTGATAGGTAAGTCAGCTTAGTTCTTATAGTAGTCAAAATTCGTTAGTACGACCCCCAGATACAACGATTTCCCTGTTATAACGATTTTTTCCGCTTTCCCATGGCATTAGTTTGCTTAGTAATGCTATCGTATACAACTATTTCCCCGTCATAACGTTTTTGGGCCGCGGTCCCAGTGGGGTCGCACTAACGGAAATTGACTGTATCTATGTACCTATAAGTACAATTGTATTTTATTGGTCTTGGTGACTGTGGAAACAACTTTATGGCAGGATTCTGGAAGAGATGAATGAGTACTACATCTCAAACAAAGTAAATATGTCCTCCAAGGTACAGGCAGCTCAGTTGTGTGGGCACTTCTGTGCCTGCTTTGATGCTGATGAAGGTGTTTGGTTTAGAGCTGAAATTGATGAGTGGTTCATGGTAAGCAAGGCTCTCTCAATGAAATAGCAGTTTTCATTGTTGTTTTGTTAATGTTGTGGAAAGATTGCAGGGCTGGCTGACTCTTTATATTTTATTTTGCTTTGTTAAATAGGATGATTCTGTAACGCCATTGAGAGTGTGGGCGGTGGACTATGGCGGACTTTCAAGGGTTGATTTGGGTAGTATTCAACCCTTATGTACCGAGTTAGCTTCTACATCACCACGCCTTGTTACCCTTTGTACTATGAGAAATGTTAGTTCATCAACATTCATAGACTCGCATCTTAATCCATCTTCAAATTTTCTTATTTTCATAACTATTTTAATTCCAGGTCCAGCCTCGTTCTGAAAATAATATTTGGCCTCAAATTCATTTGGACAGAGTGAAACAGCTGCTACCTGAAGAGAAAGAGTTGTATTTACGAATTGATGGGAATCAATCAGAAGAGTTTATCTGGCCAGTATCTGTATTTACTGACAAGGAATGTTCTTTGCAGAGCATAAATGAAATTTTGGTTTCTGAAGGTTGTGCATACTACATAGGTTCTTCACTGGCAAAGGATAACATACCAAGGAAAAGTAAGCTCATCTTTTCTTAAATGAAGAATAAATTAATTACCTAATCAACAGATGTATTTCTATGTCTGATTTTCATTTCATTTCTAGATGATCAAATGTATGAGGAAGCTGATAATCCAATGGAGGAAGCTTATGAATTAGGAGGTAATAATTATGAAATAGATGATGAAGATGCGTGTGTTGCTGTAAGTGGATGGAAGCCCAAGGAAGAGGAGGGCATTTGCTGGTTCTATCATAGAAATGGCTATTGCTATAAGAATTATTGTGAATTGAAGCATGTGAGGCTAAACCCAGGTAAGTTTTATAAATTTGTGAAAAACTGTTTATTTTCTAAATCCATTTCCTACTATCAGTGTTTATTCTGTCACTATCTTGCAGATGGTATAACCATCGAGCAGCGCGAAATGCATACATGTTCATTCGAGGACATACAAGACCTGCTCTCTCCTGGGAAAACAATCAAGCTAGTAGTTACTAGAATTTTAACTGTTAATCATTTCATGGCTTCCATCAAGTTTGAAAAAGGTAATCTTCTCAATGTTTTATGTAACTAGTGATATTAGTAAAAATAATAACTAATGTCTTAATTCTTGTTAATTCTAATTGTCTTCCTCTGTTTAAAGGGTCAATTAAATCAAGGGAGACCCTTGCATCAGTGCTCAAAAATTTAAACTCAACTGAGATGAAAAGGTCTCTGAAGACCTTTACTGAATTTCCTGCTGATGGAGAGATTGTTTTATTTAAGGATAGTAAGACAAAAATGTTTTACCGAGGGAGGATTATTACCTCCAGCCCTAACAATGATGATCTTTATCAAGTAAGACTTAAAGTTAAAATAAGTTTTTAATTTTTTATCTAAATATATAAAAGATATTCCTTATTTCCCCAGGTTTTAAATGTTGACAATGGTTACATACGAGCAATTCCTCTAGAAGACCTCAGGAGAGTAGACCCTGCATTTCTTCATCATCCATTCCAGGCAAGAACATTTATTGTTTCCAGTCTTTTATCTATGAAACTTTAAGGTTTTTCTCCCTTAACTTTTTTTTTCTTTTGTTTATATGTTTTAGGCAGTGGAGTGCTGGCTTGCAGATGTAGCTCCAACTCAGACTGATCGTGACTGGACAAAATCCTGCAATTCTGTTTTTGCTGAAATGGTGCGCGACACGAAGTTGTCAGCCACTATTATAAGATCGTAAGTGTTGAGAACTACATTTTGGTGATGAAGCATCATTACTCATTAGTGTTATGGTGCTTTCTCCAGTTTCCTCTTAATGCTATTTTTATTATTTTGTAGGTCTCCTTGGGGAATTGAGGTGAATCTTCTAGACAAAGATGGGAATGACCTCGCCCTGATGCTGAAAGAGATGAATATCCTTAAAAGTTGTCCTATGAGGCACCTTCCACTTCCTGGATCACACCAGATCCCTGGTTAAATAAGTATTATTACCTATCTGTATTTTCTATATTTTTATATTTGTTGACAAATCATTTTTTATTTCATTTAATCAAACTTTGCACTGTGACCTCCTGAGAACTTTTATTTGTTTAAATAGAAATTAAGGCAATAAACCTGAAATACGTAAAGCCCATCCTTGATTGCACCTGGTCTCACCATCCTTTGGAAATTTAATTTCTACTTCTTTGTGGACTGAAACCTGAAAGAATAGTTCAGTTAAATTATCATTGTGTATAATTTTGCTTGTATGCTTTAGTTTTGATATTCTACCTACCTCTAGTGCTCCATAGCCAAGCAATGTGATGTTTGGATTTTTGAGACGAGGAGATCCAAGCCGAAGAATATTTTCCTTTGGCCAATCCATAACCAGTGCGTAGAGAGTCTTTGAGTCTGCACTCTGAGTATAACTGAGAGGTACATTGGTCACAGGTCTGTTCACAGAGGCTTTATCAAGCTAAGGCGATGTGCCTTAAAATCAACAAAAGAAAATATAGAGAACTGCGATGGGCAATTTGTGCACAATGGCACCAATCCCAGGTCTGTAGATCTTTTGTTGATGCTGTTATTCTGACCGTCAGGATATCGCCTTAACTTGATAAGGTCAGACAAAGGTACACTGTCGTGTGGCACTTACTACACTGTTGGGTTGAGCGTGTCGTTGGCTGATGTCCAGGGTTTAGTGCGATAGACCGCCTCGCCGTTGACGGCCAGCCAGTCGCCAAGCTGAAGGAGCCTCTCCTCGAGCAGGGGTGCGATGGTGCCCTCCTTGGTCGGCCCTACGTTGACTACGAGATTCCCGCCCAGACTCACGGTCTTGGCCAGCAGTCGGAGCAGGTCCGACAGGCCAAGGTAGTCCTGCAGCGACGCCTCGCGTCGGTAGCCCCAAGACTCGCGGTCCACGGTCATTGCGTTCTCCCACTTCTTCGCAGGGGGCACATCTAGGACAATTTCAATTTATTATTAATTTTGGCACCATAAGGTGTTATTTTGCTCTCTTCATAGCCTTATCCCCTTACCAGGCAAGTACCGATCCTGGCAATTGAGGAAATCGCCGTGCTTGCACTGAGCGTCCCGACCCCACCTATCGTTGGTGACGACGGTGTTCTTGACGGGGGAGTCCGAGTACAGCCACGCCAGGAAGTCACAGGAGCGCCAGTACTTCGAGTCCGCTTCCCAGTCACCGTCAGACCATAGCACGTCGGGACGGTAGGTGTTCACCTGTTACTCACGAATTAAAAGTCTTACAGGTTTCTGAAATTCCCTGCACCTCCGCGCGCCAATTTTTTAACGAATCCGTTAGGGGTCGGTCGTTATACTAGACACTCGGAGGACAGCAGCAGCGTTGTTAACGTTTACAATAGATCGTCCTATCTAGTTAACCCGTAGAGTTGTAGTACCAGCTCTTTCATCTCAGGGATAATCTTGTTGTTGACGAAGTTTTGGGTGGTGAAGTTATTTTTCTTGTCTGCCAGCCAGAGGGGGTGAAACCATTCGTAGAGGGAGTGATACAGTCCGAAGGTAATGTTTGTGTTCGACCGCAAAGCTGCTGCCAGTTCTCCTGAAACGCAGATTTGTAGATCACCATCTCCATCGTTTGCAAACGTGGGACTTATTACTTTTGGGGAAGAATCCACTATGTGTTGCTGAAACTCACCCACCAAGTCCCTGTGCGCTCCGACATCTTTTGCATTCCAGCTGTACGAATATTTTGAGGGCCAAAGTGTGAAGCCCTCGTGGTGTTTACTGGTCAGAACGACGTACCTAAATGAATTATCGATTTAACTTGTATGATCTAAACCGATGAGCTTATCGCACGGGAGAAAAGAAAATACTTGTCGTCCTCTTACTTGGCTCCTGATTTATTCAGGATCTTAGCCCATTGCTTTGCGTCGAACAGCTCCGCCGTGAAGTCCTTCGCGAAGTCCTGGTAGCTGAAGTTCGGCGGATAGTTGCTCTTCATGAACTTGACGTATTTGTCCTTCTTTTCTGTGAAGAAAATCGGGAAAAGGTCATCCATTGACAGCAATATTTTTGTATTTCGGGGTCAATGGTAACGGAAGTAAGGACCGTGCTGGTAACTATATACCTGTTATCCAGTCGTACCAGAACCACTCGTTTCCGAAGCTCGGCACGGAGTACACGCCCCAGTGGATAAAAACTCCCACTTTAGCGTCATCATACCTGGCAAGGAAAATTGTGTTTAGACTGGGGGGAAAGCGTGCGCGGGGGGGGGGGGAGGATTCCCCCACCCTCTTACAATCTAGCTGTCTGCTCATTGTACGTTCCATGAGCAGTGGGCTCTTGTGCGCAGCGCTGGGGCACACTGACCACACTGACGCCGTCACTTATCGCACCGCATTATGTACCGCTATTGACACATTGACTTGGCGGCGAAGGGACCGGCAACAATAAACCAACCGAGAAAAAGAACGGTGGGGG